AGGCCGGGAAACCCGATTGCCTCACAACCACGGTGTGGGATGGCCTCATCAGCTATTGGGGGTTGCCGGACTCGGTCAGAACCTCCAACACAAACTCCGGGAACCGCATGACCAGAGACGAGCATGGCAACACAAAGGTGCTTCACACCACGGGTCGAAAACCTCACGGGGGAGTTCGTCTAGACATGGTAAGATGATTTTTAATAACTATTTAATTTTTATTTTATTTGAATATTCCAAATTAATATTTAATTTTATAAATTAATTTTAGGCTAAGGAGACAGGAGTTCTTCCATCTCTCAAAGACCTTTACGAGAGGACCCACCGGAACAAGGCTGGGCAGTTTGTAGATCCTGCTTCCGAGCGGATCTACAACGAGGTTGTTGCTCGAGTTGACGAACGCCAGACCCAGCTGACTCAGGAGACTGGGACTCCAGTCATATTATCCACTGGTTAAGTGGATAAGATTTACGAGGAGGTAAATAATTTGTTCTACTAATTAATTTTTAATAATTTTTTAAATTTTTTCTTAATGTTATTAATATTTTTATTTACAGATCGCCCCTAGGAAAAAGGGGCGTATCATCGGGATTGGCTCGGTTAACGATGTCCCTGCAGCGACATCGTCTTATCATCAGGAGCAGCACGATGTCAATGCTCAGCTACGCTCGCAGTTGTTTTCGCTCACCGAGCATGTGACTTCTCTCACCGATGTCCTCGACATTATGGCGGTTGGAAACCCGCAATTGGAGGAGATGTTGCGTCAGAGACGGGAACGCGGAGGGATTCCAACCCAGTAGCATCCACCATCACAGTCACAGCCAGCAAGCAACTATGGAGAGGAGCATGATTTGGCGAGCCAGGACGAGTTCGTTCGCCAATTTCACGACCAGCATTCGAAGCAAAATCCTCGTAATGGTTTCCAAGTAATGTCTCGTAAATAGTTCTAGTAATTTCCTCGTATGCTATTACTACGAGCTTACGAGGAAAATCTTACTACGAGCTTACGAGGAAACGCTACGAGGAGTTTACGAGGAAAATCTAACCACACCTTTACGAGGAAACTTTTCCTCGTAAATTCGCTAGGACCTTACGAGGAAAAAGGCTTTACGATGAACGTGTTTCAAGGAAACGCGTTTCCTCGTTAGTTCCTAGTAAAAGACCATTTACTAGGAAATAACGAGGAAAACCCGTACTAGTAATGGACGAGTTTTCTTGTAGTGCATGTACGTTTCTAACCGTTTTTTTCTCGCTTTTATCATTTGATGATTTGTAGTGGGTCTTATCTTTAGTTTGCCATGACAATTTGCTAGGATGCAGAGGTAAGACTATATTTTAGAGACAGAATGAGCCTCAATACAATTTAAAAAATATATATAACATTGCTCAGATTCTCGACAAAATTTAGAGTTTCACACAGACTCTAAGCTGCAATGATACTTCTCCTTCATTTACTCAAGTTTTGGAAGAATTCGATATGTCTATCAAGACTAAGTTATTTATCAGTTATGCTTTGTATGTAGGTTTCTAACTTGCTACAATCGTGGAAAATAAAGCTCAAGGAACTCATTAACTAATCCAAACAATGCCTGGTCATGTGAGAATATGTATAACCTATCATGTTTCTGCGTGAACTATATATTGACATGTTAAGAAATTTACATGAATATAGCATTTCACACATGAGCTATTTACACAAGAACATATCTGGCAGGAAGAGATCAAGGAGCTGTGTTTTTGGTAATTGTCTCTGAATCACACATATGCAACACACCAAGAGCTATAGGTCACAACTATACACTAAAAAATCCTTCATAAAACAAATGAGGCGTCAAGGTATACGGTCACCAGAAGAAACCTTTTATGAGATTTGATCATTCAGATTATAGTTTTTTATTACATTATAAGCTTAAAGCTTCTTTCGTTTTTCATGCAACACCTTCACTGAGAGGATTTGAATTTGCTCCATAGAATTTATACTTAATTGCTTGGTGTCTGTGTGTGATTAAGCTCAATAGTACAATGAAAGTGGCTACCTCAAGTTACTAAGAATTTCGTATTATCGAGGCTAAAACCGAGCCTCTGAGTTATATGGCAGGATCATGGATAATTTTCTGGCTGAAGGATTGTATACAGTCAAGAATAGGGCTCAAGTCATCAAAGCTTTAGTATGGAGAGGTATAAAGTATGGATGCTTACAACATGTTCATTTTTTGTTGCAGCTACTTCTCCATCCTGAGTCTCATGATTCTGCCCAGTTATCTCAAGTAAAAAAAAATTGTTGAATATAATATGTTATATAAAATGTCGGAATCCTAAATGCTTTTTTTCATCTTCTCCAGATTGATCTCTGAGCTTTCATAGCTATCAACGTTGATTCAAGCTGGTGTATTGATCGTTTCAATCATTTTTCATGCTAGAGCTGGTTCTGGTTCCGCAACAATATACATTGAGAGCAAATTAAGAAATTTTTAGCTTTTGTGTTAGCCACTAGGAGATGGGTAAGTTAATTTAAAAAAAAAAAACAATTTCAGCATACATCGATATCTGCCATTTTGGATATAAACAGGGAAACGGAGGTCCACGTTTGAGTGAAAATCACATGAGGGACAAAAGCTCGCCTGAGAGCAACACTCTTAAGACTTACAAGATCGACATTTATGGCTCTTGACGTCTCTAGACATGACATGCGTAGTGCTGCATTTGCTATATATGGCCGAAGGAGTTCCAATGGGTTCTTAAACAAACAAGTCTCTTAGAGAAGTGAGGCTTTATAAAATCCTAGGCTTAAAGAAAAAGCAATTGTGTATGTTGCTTCTTGAATTTCAAGAACAAGAGTTTGCAGAGTTTGTATGTTGATAGGAACTGGTTCGAGAGCGATGGCGTCGAGGATTTCCTTTTTCAATTGACTAGATACTCCACTTCAAGATTCAAGGAAAGCAAATGAGATTTATTGGAAGCTGGACACAATAGTATGAAGATATATGACACATATTTAACTCATAGATATGCCACTTACTGAGCAAAAGTGCATTAAAGTTTTCATCTGCGATGCTTTGCAACTCTAATGCAAAATTTCTCTGCTTCCGATATTCTGTACATGGAGAAGGTGACAATCTCCTTAATGAATCCTTTGGACAAGTGTTAAAACACTTGGTGGGATGATAATTACAACATTCATGGACGAGGAAATAAAGATCTCGATGTATGTTTTTAATAATTTATATTTAAAAATAAAGATCTCGATGTATGTCTAATCTAATATTTTAAATTCTAATAACTTAAGAATGATTCATAAGAAACAAGTATACTTTTTAATTATTATTTTTTTTTTAATTTCTAAAAATTCTTATAATAAAATATTAATTAAATAACAAAAAATTAATTAATAATGTCATTTTTTCTTAATTACTTTGATTTATATTCACGTAATTGAATAATGTGCGAATTAATGTGAGCACAATACATAAAAAATTAATTTTTTAAATAATATTATTAAATTTAAGTATATGTATAATTAATTTAATAACATTTTAAGGTTTGTAAAAACTTTTAATTTCATCATTAAGACTTTTATCGAGTTAAAATTTATTTTATTCCCTAAGTAATATTTTCATGAAGTTATGAATATCATATAACGGTTTAGGTAGACAATAAAAATATTATTTATATAATTCTTTTTGATACATCTACACTAGTTAAAGCATAAATCCACACAATATTTTACAATACCTATGAAACTTAGAATATATGATGCATACTTAACAAAATATAGTAATGTATAAAATACATTAAGCGGGTAATAGATTTTAACCTATAAATACTATTTGAATTATCTTAATTTTGATAACATATAAGGTATATAATGCAAATATTCAAAATAAATTTTATATTTACCTAAACAAATTGAATAATAATAGAAAAACCAATAAAATCTAGACGTAAATAAAAATTGTAATCAATGTTTTGACAAATTTTATTTATTTATTTTTAAAATTTTTGTTGATATATTTTGGTCTAAAATTTTTTAATATTTTTTTGGTCTAAAAAACTAGTTTCTATAAATAATAAATACACAATGCTAGTGAATTTAAACGTGAAGTCGGACATTTGCAGGCTTGTATAAGTCAATGCATGTGAAAATCAGATTTTGTTAGTTCATCGTACTGAATTTGAATTAATTGACCACTACATGTTTTCCTGTGATAAATTTTTTAAAAGTTAAATTATATTTAAAATGAAATTATTAATATTATAAATTTTTATTATTTTAACTAATATTTTTATAAATTTAATTTAATTAAGCATAAATTAAAAAAATATTTATTTTAAATTATATTTAATAATATATATGTAATATATTTAAATTCAAATCATTAAAATAATTATCTATTTATTTTGGTTTAATGTATTAAATAAACTTGAATTCATATAAGAACTGTATAGTTATTAAAAATTATAATTAACAATATGTATAAAATTTGTCAATATTAAATTAATGATATTACAATTAAAATTTAATTAATTTTTTAAGATATAGAAAATTTTCAAAATATTAATAATAAACATAATATATTAACATTAAATATAAATGTACATGTCACAATTAATTTTAAGTCATGTCATCATTATTAGTTGAGATGTCATTATTTTTTTTATTGAAATTGATTGTGGTGATACCACATATCAAAATCACTTCGCAAATAATATATAAGAGATGCACATATCATAATTAACTTCAAATCATGTCATTATTATTAGTGTACATATCATCACTATTAGTGTACATATCATCATTATTAGTGGATATATCATCATTTTTATGGTGAAATTGATTGTGGTGATGTCACATGTCAAAATTACTTTGCAAATAATATATAAGATTAGTGTATGCATTTGCAGGCTTGTATAAGCTTTTATTTTCCGCACATTTATCAGTGGATTTTCAAACGAAAAGGGTTTCGGAAAAGGACACCGTTTTGATGACTTCAATATTGATGTAGCATTAAGGGAAAGTTCGGAAAGAGCACAAGAAAACAAAAATATGAGATGACAATGTTCCATGAAAGTTCAAAGGTTACAGAGAGGCAGCCGCGCGAGTTGACTCACCAACCAATCTCTTTAATCATTATTGGTAGATTCTTTCTCCAATCTCACATGAAACCTCACTTCTCTATTCTTTTCCTTTTCGCATCTTCGTCAACCAATCCTCAGCCATGCCCCGTCGATCAAACGACGGAGATCCTGGCCGTTTTACCTCCACCGCGCTCCTTTTCATCGGTCTGATATCGTGTCTCATCGTCTACGCTGTCTTCTCTACTCTTCTCCGTCCCCAAGGTCACACACACGATTCCGCCGTCGTCCGATCGCGAGATCACGGGGATGTAGATGGCGGCGGAGGGTGTTGCCATGGAGTAGATAATCTGGAGCTGTGGGGTCCGGCGGTGAAGTGGGGGACGGATTTCAAGTTTAATTCGTCTGATGAATGTTGCAAGGCGTGTAAAGTTATGTGTAGCGGCGACGATGGACCTTGCTTGTGTGATTCTTGGGTCTTCTGTGGGGACAAAGAGGCTTGCGGGTCCAAGTTTGGAGAGGTGAGTCTGTGATCGTATCAAATTGTGGTTGATTTAACGTTTATGTATCAACAAATTGGTTACTGTTCTTGGATCATGCGTGTTTGAAAAATATGCTTACTTGAGGGCGAAGTTTTCTAAAAAGGAAGAAACTTGGTGATTTTAACTTTAACCTGTGATTAGTTTTTGAGAAATGATGGAAAGGCCCTTCCCATCGGCTCAAGTTACAGACATTGACGTAATGAATTTCTCTGTGTAGTGTTGGTTGAAGAAGCAAAAAGATGTATTGGTGCCTGATCGACAGGAAGGTGGGCTGAAAGTGATGTGGACTTCTGGGCTGATCTTCGGACAAGGCCAGGTAGTCTTATATATGTATATCTATCATATCTGAAAAAACTTACTTCCGTTGGTTGATCGCCATAGCCAAAGTTGATGCTCTTTTAAATGCTGGACGCAATAATTTTAATCAGATTTCACGACATTATACTTTAATTGTGTTCACAGTTTCCTCAAAGATTTACTACTCCACGAAGTTACTAAGCCTGTTTTGTTTTGTATTGATTTGTCTACCTGATTAGTTGCTAAAAATTTGCTCCAAAAAAAAGGAAGATTAGATGCTAAAAACTGCTTTGCTCCTTCACTTTGTTCTCAGTTTAATATGTGAAATTAATGTGTCGAGTTATGATTTTCATGAAAACAAATAGCGTTCTCGGATTTACTGATCAGCTACTTTGTTCTTGTCAGGGCATTGTTGGCTTTGAGACAGAACACGGTGTACTTCATGTCAAAGTAAGTATCTTTGTTTAATTCCGTTTTACTTCAGGGGAAGGTTTCAATTTTTTTTTTTGTTTAAAGCTTTCTGATTTGACGCGGATACTTAACTTTTGTTGCAGCTTCACCCTGAGTGCGCTCCTCATTCAGTATACTACATTCTTAGTTTGTTAACTCTGCGACACTGCGCAGGCTGCCAGTTTCATCGGGCTGAGAACCGAGGATCATATTGGGACTCAGAAGGGAATCATATAAACAATGTGAGAAACACAAATTTGCCTTTTAACCACTTGCCAGTACACAGTTAGATGGAAGCTCTCCTCGGAGAAACGTCTAAAAAACTAACTTGGTCTAGCAAAATGGGTAGCTAACCAAGAAAAAACAACCCACTTACCAATAGCAGCTAGTATCCGTGCTCATACCACGAATATAACTTTATAGTATCTTAGCTGTTGAGTTCATTTTCCGTTCTAGCTTGTTCTAGCTTGTTCATGCCTTATTACTTTGCACACTTCCTACTCTCCATACGAACATACATTTTGCTTGTTATTAAAGTCTCATATTTTCCCAATGTTCATACAGGCTCCCTATGGTCCACCATACGGTATGGTTCAAGGAATACTCCAGCCCGAGGGAAACATGTTCACGCCGATCCCAACCGAGCATTGCCCAACCATAAGCCGTGGCTCTGTTGTGTGGGTCGGCTCGGGTCCTGAATTCTTCATCAGTCTAGCAAACCACCACGAATGGAAGCAATCTTACACTGTGTTCGGCTCTGTTCTGCCTGAAGATATGGAGGTTGCTGAGAGGATTGCCGATTTACCAACAAGAATCGATGTCTGGAACAGCGTTAATGTCTCTGTGCTCGAGAAACCGGTCTCGTTAACCGTACGAAGAATGAAATCTGACCAAGAACAAGAAGAATCCGGTTCGTGAAAACCGAACAATCCGTTTCTCATTTGATTTGAAGTTTATAATCTTCCTTTTTTATTGTGCATAAAATAGAGACATTTAAAAGTTTATATAATCTGGCCGTTTTAAATAAAAATATATGGTTTACTAAATATTTCCAAAATCGAAGAAATTTAACCGGATCCAACCACACTAATTTCAAGTAAAAAAATTGAAACCACTAAGAAAAAGCCAATTAACTTAAACCAAACCGCTGGTATATACTGAACCGGTAGATAAGGTCTGTTAAACGTATACGGCGGCGGTGGAGAAGGTGCGTCGGGTGCGCACACGTCATCATCCGCGGCGCACTTTAGCACAACTCTCAAACCGGCCACCTCCTCTCCCAACTTTTCTAACCTACGCCCCCTCTTCCGCCTCTTTTATCATCCTTAACACCACCGCTCTCTCTCCCAACCCTAATTTCTCCTTTTCCGCCGCCATGTCAACCCCCGATGACGAATCTCCCGCCGCCACCGCCATCGATCCTTCCACCGCCGTCACCGTCGCGACCACCACGACAAGGAGAGTCCCTCCTCCGTGCTGGACCGACGAGGAGACCGCCGCACTCGTCGACGCCTACAAAGACAAGTGGTTCGCTCTCCGCCGTGGGAACCTCCGCGCGGCTGACTGGGACGACGTCGCGGCGTCGCTGCCTACGCTGGGAGGGCCGGCGAAAACGGCCATCCAGTGCCGGCACAAGATCGAGAAGCTCCGGAAACGTTACCGCGGCGAGAAGCAGCGGTCTCTCAACAAACCAGGCAAGTTCTCTTCCTCGTGGGATTTGTTTCCTGTTTTGGACGCGATGGAGTTCGCGTCGGTGGCGGCTTCCCCCGCTGTCGAAACGTACGATCAGGATGTGGATCGCGAGGACGAGATCAACGGTGTGGATGGATTTAGGGTTAGATCGAAGAGATCCTTGATGATTACGCCTCGAGATGAGTTTGGGGTTAGATCTAGGGTTAAAATGTGCGGTGGTTTTGATTCAGATCACGATTCCGGAGGTGGTTACGGATTGAAAAGGAGATACAATGCTGATTCTGATGATGAGATTTTGTTAGCTCCCAAGGCAACTAGGCTTAGGGGTTCTCATGGGAAGCTTTCTTCAGGAGAGTTTAGCCACGGCGGTGGGTTTCCGTTGAAGTCTTATGGTGATCGGAGTTTCGCTTCTCATGGGCTTAAGCCCAAGAACTTCAGTAACAAGTTCTCTCCAGAGATGGATTATGATGATGATGAGAGGGAAGGATTCGAACCGAGAATCCATAACTCTAGGAGCTCTTCGCGAGTCAACGGTTATAGCAATCCTCGTGTCTCCAGTGGATATGGATCGTCTTCTAGGTCGAAGCACGAGGAGATGAATGAGCCTGACCCGATTAATGAAGTTGTGTCTTCGGTGAAGATGTTGACGGAGATGTTTGTGAGGGTGGAGAAGTCGAAGATGGAGATGATGAGGGAGATGGAGAAGACGAGGATGGAGATGGAGCTGAAGCATTGTCAGATGATGCTTGAGTCGCAGCAGCAGATCATTGGCGCGTTTACTGAAGCATTGAGTGAGAAGAAGAGCACAACAAGCGCAAGGAGGTAGTTTCTTTATCAACGGGAACGAACCAAATATGGATGGTATAATTAATGTGGTCAAATAGCTTTTCAGTGTAGTAGTACCATGTGTCCAGACCTCTTCCAGTTACTTTGAACAAAAACGCAAAAACGTGCAGTGAAATTTTATGCTAGTAATGACCATTTTTAAAAATAATTTATGCTAATAGATAACATTCCTGTTGATCATTTGATAACCAATCGCCTTTGCTCTCATTCCCCCTTCAAAATAAACGAAGTTTGCTAACATTTCTGTTTCAAAGTTGGACACAACGCTTCTCTGGAAACTTAGAGAAATGCTTCTTTTTTTTTAAGAAAAAAAGAGAGAAATGCAAGAGGTCAAAACTGATAAGTTTTCTATCCAAGAAGTAACTTCGCGGAGTGTGATCTAGAATGATATATGTAATGTAAGCTGAAATCTGAGGAAAACATCGCCCCCATGGCTAATAGGCCATCCATGTCCGTTCTCTCGACTCATGGGCCCATTCCGTTCCAACGGTCGATCCGTTAATTTTCCAAGGTTCTAGAGTTATGTTTACTGATCCTTTAACTACCATATGACTTTTTCCGTGCTTTGCCCTCACTTAACGGTATCGCAAATCACTTCGATAGGTCATCCATCTTACTCTAACTCAATCACGCTTAACTCTGGAGTTTTCTCTGGATATGCTCCCCAAAAGGTAAGTGCACTTTGGTGATATAGGTAGCGAAATCAATTCTCTTAAGGCTTTCCATATATCACAACTCGGATGTTACAATTCAGCTCCTCTCAAAGAACGCAACGTCTTCGTTGCGCTCCACGATAGGTCTCAAGACGTCTCTCAAGTCAGAACGGAGATAGCTAACCAGCTCTGATACCACTTGTAACGCCCCGACCGCCCATGGCTAATGGGCCATCTACGTCTGCTCTCTTGGCCCGTATAGGTCCATCCCGTTCCAACGACCAGTTCGTTAATTTTCCAAGGTTCTAGAGTCATGTTTACTGATTTGCAATCACCACATGACTTTCCCCCATGCTTTGGCCTCACTTACACGGTATCACAAATCACTTCCCGATAGATCACCCATCCTTAGACTATTCTAGCTCAAGCACGCTTAACTCTGGATTTATCTCTTAAGTGCACTTAGGTGACATAGGTAACGAAATCAATTCTCTTAAGCCTTTATATATATCACAACTCGGGATATTACACATCTCTTTAGCGATCAAGATAAGATTATTTAGAGAGCTATCAAATTGACATTGTTTGGAAGATTTGTTACCAACACGTTTGTGATTTCAATGCATTTAGGTTTACTAATGCTAATAAATATCTGCTAATAATAATCTCTGCCTAATCTTCAATTGGAACAGTTATTCAAGTGTAACTTACTAGAGCTGGCCCGACTATGTCCGGATTTTCGTTGAAATTTTAATTATATATGTTATATGTTATTTTGATATATAAATATAATAATCTATTATAAAATATAAATAGTTAGATAATTATATTTTTTTAATTATTTATTGTTTTTTGTCTTTCGAATTTCAAAATTTTAATATCCAAATTTTGTATGTCATGATTATCAGTATGTGTTCGACTTTTGTTTCTTTATTTATTGTGTGTTATTATTTTATTTTCAATTTTTTTTGTAAACTATTGTCTGGTTATTTATTATCATTGTTTACTGTTTGAATTTTTATTATAATTATTCTAAATTTGATCTTATTTACCTAAAATAGAAAGAAAATTTAGTGTGTGAATCCTTTTTTCCTTAGGTTTGATGAAACGTAAAGGAAAACAATATGATAATAGTTTTTTTCATCTTTCCAAACTTATAAACTTACTTATTTATTTTGAATATGTTTAAGTATTTTGTAACTTTTATTTACAATTAAATCTTTTCATTAAACACAGAAAAAAACTTTTTATTAAACTCAAGTTATATCACATAGCATAATTAACTTTTAATTAGTCTATTTTTATATCTTATTAGTTCTTGGTTTTTAAACTATTTTCATTAGGTATTAATTGTTAATTATTTTTATATTGTTTTGTATTCTAGGTTAACCTTAAATTTGGTAGTAAAAAGGGAACTAAAAATCTGTGAGATTTTGTATTTTATTTTCGTTTGTATATATCTAATGAAATGTATAAAGATTAATAGCGTAAACTTATTTATCCTCTTTCTCATGAATTTTATTTATTACATTTGTAAATTTATTTGTTTTAATTATATTATAAATTTTCACTAAATGAATACTTATTATAATTATAATAATTTTAATTATTATAATTATAAATTTATTTTTAGTTATATTATATATTTTCACTAAATGATTATTTTTTTAACAAAAAGATTAATGTCATTTTTTTGGTTTCATTAAAAATAAAATATTAAATATAAAGATTTAGAAGTTATTAAATTATTCGATGTTTCGGTGGCTATATTTAGGGTTCACTTCATGTTTTTTTTTGGGATATGTTATACAGATCAGTGTGATATAGTTGTGTATTTTTTCAAGTTCTATTCTCGAGCCTATGGTATTATGTGCTCATTTTTCTCCAACTTATTCTTAAAAACTATCAATCAAGTGGAAATATATTTACTCCCATTTACTTTTTATTACTGTTTCAAAAGAGATAAACACACACTTATCATTGTGCTAGATATAGTGAACGTAACAATATTTTCTCATTTTCCTTTTCTTTTCCATTTTATTTTTTCTGATTCTATTTGATTGGAAAAAAAACTGTGAGATCTTAGCGGCCACTGAAGTGGTGTTATGAGGTGAAAGATTTCAAGGCAAGATGGTGTTAAGCTAATGACATATTATTTTGTCAGGTTATACACCTGATATTCAGATTTATGTTGTCTTCATCTTCTGTGTATTCGTTTCAAGATAATTGATTGTTATTTAGTGTTTACTTTGTCTATGATACAATGAATGACATGTTCAAATAAACATTTCACCATCTCTATCAAAATTTGATGTCCGTTTATGTTTTGGAAATTTTTATTTTTATCTACTGTCAAACATATTTTGTAATATTATATTCTTTTTAGTATTATAATATTTTATGTTTTGTTTGTTTTTCATAAAAGCACATAGTTATTTTTATGCGTTCGATTACCTTTTATATGCAGTAACTGATATAAATTTAGTGTGTATACAAGATCATTTTTAACAACAACATACAATATTCTTTATGTGAGAATCTTTGTATATGTTTGATGTGTTTATTCCTTTTGATTTAGTTTGTATTATGATTTTTTTCCTGTATATTAATTCCTAATGTGCTACTATTAAAAATCTAGTGATACACACACATAAAAATACATATATTCAAATTTAGTGAGTATCTGATTTTTCTTAAATTATTGAAAATAAGAATAACATTAAATTTCACTATTTATATATTTTATTTTATTATATAAATAATTTCTAACATTTGTCGATGATGATAAAATAAAATATCTAAAATATAAATTATGGATTATTTTCAGTCAATTTATGTGGGAATCTTTGTATTTGTTTGATGTGTTTATTCCTTTTGATATAATTTGTATTCTTATTTTATTCATGTATATTTAATGCATATTAATTCCTAATGTGCTACTATTAAAAATCTAGTCATACACACACATAATATATATATATATATATATATATATTCAAATTTAGTGAGTATTTATTTCTCTTAATTTATTAAAAATAAGAATAACATTAAATTTCACTATTTATATTTTATTATATTATTAATAACATTAAACTCCACTATTTATAACTTGTTGTTTTATTATATAAGTAATTTCTAACATTTGTCAATGTTGATAAAATAAAATATATAAGAATATAAACTATAGATTATTTTCAGCCTTATACATTTTTTTGAATCTATGGATACTTTTAATATACTTTTTATATCTCAAAATAAAAAGATTCATACTTCTTAAAATGAACTGATAAATGCGTTCACATAAATAAACCTTTGTTAATATTAAATATTAATTTTTTGTGTAAAACTAATTTTGCATGCCATGTGTTACTTTCCCCTCATTCTATTTAGTGATATAACATCACCATGAAGGATAAAACTTAACTTTATATAATAAGATTCCTCTTTTATAATACGATTATTGGATATGTAACTTCACTATCTCATTTATAAATCTACATCTAGTATTTCATTTTTTTGTTTTTTGATGAAATTGTAAATTTATTGATCACCTTTAGAAACGTTTATGTACAAAAGCTAATCATGAAGAATAAAAGAATGTAAAACTGCTGAGGCCCTAAGTAATGCGTGTTTCAAACCAGCGCTGCATAAGGTATCGTAGCTTCGGTTTCATGGAGTAGCCTGTGGATGTAATCATGTTTCGAACAGCTTTGTCAGTTAAGCAAGATGATGAACTGGTTTACCCCCCCCCCCATTATGCTTCCTCTCATTTCTCTCCTGCCAGATGTAATATATAGTGACCTGCAATACCAACCTCAGAAGAATGAAGGTAATGTTGTCACGCACAGGAAGTAACATGAGCTCAATCGTGGTGCTCCAGTCCGGATCAGGGTCTCTTCCCAGCAGGTACCCAACTACACTGATCCAAAGAGTGAAAGTGTAAGAGCAAGCAATAAATAAATGGTCTCGAGATTCATCAGGTTCTCCACATCTAGTATTTCATTTCTATAAAGTTGATTTATATATGGACATTAACACTAGAAATTGATAAATTAATACTTAGTAATTAATAAATAAACTAATAAATTGATATGTCATGAGTTGAGTCAATGAAGAATATGACATAATTTAATAAAATAATAAATTTTGATTTTTTTTAATAAATATATGCTTCCAATATAAACATAAATTAATAATTACTATATATAAATAATTCTCTCAAAATTTATCCAAGCATAACTTTTGTTCCTCTTCTGTCATAGGATTAGTAGATATGTTACTTGGTTATCAAATAATTATTGTGATTTTGATGTGTTAGGTTTACTAATGCTAACAATTCTCTATGTCTAATTTTCAATTGGAAAAGTTATCTAAGCATAAGTTATTCCTCTTCCGTCATACAATTATTGGATATGTAACTTGGTTATCACATTTATAAATCTACATCTAGTATTTCATTTGTGTAACATTGATTTATATATGGACATTAACACTATAAATTGATAAATTAATACTTAATAATTAATAAATAAACTAATAAGTTTAATAT